AAAAAAAAAAAACAGAAAAAAAGCTAAGGGTTGATTTTTTGAAAAAAGAAATTAACAAAAGGGACAAAACCTAGGCTGGGTGTGGTAACTCCTACCTGTAATGCCAGTACTTTGGAAGGCAGAAGCAGGTTGATCACTAGACCAGCGTAAACAACATGGCAAAACCCCATTTCTATGATAATAATACAAAAATTAGCCAGGTGTGGTGGGTGTGTGCCTATAGTCCCGGCTACTCGGGACAGAGGCAGGGAGAATCAACTTCCCTAAGCCTAGGGAAGTTGAGGCTACCATAACTAGTGATCGAACAACTGCACTCCAGCCTGGATAACAGAGTGAGACCCTATCTCTAAAAACAAAACAAAACGAAACAAAAATTCTGACAAAACTTAAGCCAGATTAAGAAAAAGAAGATTCAAAAAAATTAAAATCAGAAATGAAAGAGGAGATATAACCAACGCCATAGAAATAAAAGCACCATAAGAATACTATGAACAAGTATACAACAACAAAATGAAGAACCGAGAAAAAATTGAAAAATTCCTAAAAACATAAAATGAACCAAGACTGACTTGTGAAGAAATAATAATTATAATAAAAAAAAAATTAACAGATCTAACTAGACCTGAAATTTGAATCAGTAACAACAAAGTTCGCAAGAAATAAAAGCCCAGGACGTAAGAACATTAAAAGAATAATTACTACCAATCCTCTGGAAAAGGCTGGAGAGGAGGGAACACTTTGAAGCTCATTCTGTGAGGCCAGAATTACCCAGATATGAAACACAGACAAGGACATCACTAGGAATGAAAACTACATGCCACTATCTCTAGTAAGTACAATGCAAAAATCCTGACCAAAATGCTGGCAAATCAAATTTGACAGCACATTAAAAGGATTATACACCACAATCAACGATGATTTACTCCTGGAATGCAAAGAATAATGAAAGATACAAAATCAATGTTACCTTAACAGAATGAACGACAAAAACCAGGCAGTCATCTCCACTGATGCAGAAACTGCATTCGGCATGATTCAACATCCTTCATTAATAAAAACACTCAACAAATTAGGAACAGGAGGATGTGGCCAAAACATAATAAAGGTCATATATAATATAAAAAGTCCACAACTAACAGTATACACATGGGTGAAGGAATGAAAGCCTTTCCTTTAGGATTAGGAACATGGCAAGGATGCCCACTCTATCACTACCTCTGTTCAACACAGTACCAGAAGTCCTGCCCAGGGCTATTAGGCAAGAAAAAGTTTATAAATAAAAGACACCCCAAGTGGAAAGAAGAACCAGGTCCCAATGGGTACTAAGGGATAGCTATACAATGAAAACTGCAAATGTCCATATAACTCAAAGCAACCTACAGATAGTTTCATTGCAATCCCCATCAAAATACCAATAGCAATTTTTTCTTCTTTTTGACCAAAAAAAAAAAAAATCAGCTGTAAAATTCACATGGAATCTCAAGGGACACACACCCTCAACCCTCTGACCACCAGAGATAGCCAAAACAATTTTGAAAAATAAAGATAGGCCAGGCATGGTGGTCCATGACTGTAATCCCAGCACTCTGGGGGCCAAGATGGGCAGATCACCTGAGGTCAGGAGTTTGAGACCAGCCTGGCCAACATGTTGAAACCTCATCTCTACTGAAAATACAAAAATTAGCCAGGCATAGTGGCTGGCGCCTGTATTCTGAGCTACTTGGGAAGCTGAGTCAGGAGAACAGCTTGAACCCAGGAGGCAGAGGTTGCGGTGAGCCTCGATTGTGCCACTGCACTCCAGCCTGGGAGACACAGCAATACTGTGTGTCAAAAAAGAAGAAAGAAAGGAATAAAGGAAGGGAGGAAAGGCAGAAAGGGGGAAGGGAAGAAAGAGAAGGAGGGAGGCAGGGAAAGAAGGGAGGGAGGGAGGAAGGAAGGAAGACACGAAGTTGGATAACTCACACTTTCTGATTTGACACACAATACAAAATGACAGTAATCCAACAGTGTGGTATTAGCATAAAAAACAACAGAAGGAGGAAAACAGAGTCCAGAAATAAACCTAAGGGTATATGGCCAAATGATCTTTAACAAGGGTGCCCAGAACTCTCAATGGAGAAAGGATAGTTGCTTCAACAAATGGTGGTGGTAAAACTAGGTCTCCATATAAAAGAATAACATGGGGAAGACTTTACCTTACACCATACAAAAATTCAGCATTAAATGGATTAAACATAAGGCCTCAAACTGTAAAGATCCACAGCCAAAAACAGAGGACCATAAGCTTCTTGAAATTAGAGACATGATTTCTTGGGTATGACACCAAAAGCAAAAATAGACAAACTGAAAAATGCCTGCCAATCAAAGGAAACAACCAGTAAGGGTGAAAAGACAACCTAAGGAATGGAAGAAAATATCCGCAAATATTAAATCTGATAACATCTAAAGAACTCCCACAAAGCAATAGTACCAAGAAACAACCTGACTAAATACTGGGCAAAGGACTTGACTGACACCTTTCTCTGAAGACATACAAGCACACAAAAAGATATTCAACATCTCAACTCATCACAGAAATCCAAATTTAAAACAACAACAACTAATGAGATATGATTTCAATGCCTATCAGGGTTGTCAAGAGAGAAATAAAAAGAAAATATACAAAAAGCAAACAACAGTAAAGTTTGGGCAGGAATATGGAGAAACTGAAACTCTTGTGCACAGTTGATGAGAATGTAAAACAGTGGGGCTGCTATGAAAAGCACAAAAATTACTCAAAAATTATAAAATTTCCACATATGATCCAGCAATCCCATTTCTGAGTGTATACATAAAAACATCCAACAGGATCTGGGAGAGTTACCTGCACAGCTGTGTCTGCAGCAACATTACTCAACAATAGTCAAGAGGTGGTGGTAACCAAAATGCCCATCCAGAGGAATGGATAAAGATAATGTGGTATACACACAATTGAGTATTATTCTGCCTCAGAAAGAGGAAGGAAATACTGTCACATGCCACAACACGGATGATGAACCTTGAGGACACTATGCAGTGCAAAGTAAACTAATCGAAAAAAGACAATCACTATGATTTCCACTTATTAAAACAAACTCGAAGTCAATTCACAGAAGCAAAGAGTGGGATGGTGGTTGTTACGGGCTGTGGGGAGGAGGAAGTGGCAGAGTTGTTTAATAGGCAGAGTTCCAGTTTTACAAGATGAAGGCATTCTGAAAATCTGCCACACAACAATGTAAATGTAGTTAACACTAATGGACTGTACAGTTAAAAATAATTACGATGGTAAATTCATGACTATCTTTTTTTTTTTAACCACAATTAAAAATTATTTAGGCATTTTAAACCAAACAAACCAAGAACTACAAAGAAACCTTTGCCCTTATTCAGTTGGTTTCTTCTTACCAGGAATATTGGCTCTGTGAAATTATTTTATGTAAACTCCTAGGAGTAAACTTAATAAGTAATAAATAAGCAAACTAATAAATGCCAAAAGTTTTGTGTAAAACAAAGATCTATATATTTCAAATAAAGTTAGGTAGGGGAGAAAAAATCTGTTGAATTTTAACAGGGAATTTCATTTAAAAAACAAACGGCAAATATTTCACTTAATTGGAGATAGAAAGTCCATGTCCATTTTAAAAATTATTTTCAAAGGTATGCAAAAGTTGACACAAGCATAATACGCTCCTACCTATCCACTCTCCAGTTTCAAAACATTTGAAAAATCATGGCCAGCGCTGATTCATCTTTACCCATGTAGTCCCGCGCTGAATCACTTAGAAATAAATGGCCACTACCAAATTGTTTGAACCTGAAATATTTTGGTAAGCCTCTCAAAAAGGGAAGTAACTCTGCAAATGATTGCTAGGTATCTTAGGCATCTTCCAATATATACACGCTTTCTTTTCTCCCTTTATCCAAGTTTGTCTTGATTCTTTGACAAGAATACTTCCTCAACGGTACGGTGCACTGCCACTACTGGGAGATGCATGATATCTAGTTATGTCTTTTGTGGACACACTGAAATCAACATGTTTAGGCGTCATAAGCATGAAACATCCAGTTTCATATCCCCTCTCTCAATGTTTTCCCCTAATGAGAAGGCCTCTCAACTTTCACAGCCCAACATCCTTACCTAAAATTTCCAGCTGAACAGTAAATACCAGGAGTGCAGGCAGCACAGGCACAAGGTCATAGTGGTCAAACAACAATCAGCCCCAGCGTGTGGAGTACTGAATTCAAAAGAGCCAGCTTGGGCTCTTTCAACAGCAAGCCAACTGAGGACTTTGGCTGGGTCTTAAATCAGGGTCCAAGTAGGGACTATGGAAGTGCACATAAGCAACAGAACAAAGTATAAAATCATTAAAGGTAGGCAGGAGTTGCTACTGTTTGTTGTCCCTATCCTGTTCTTTCAGTGTTTCTGCATTTCTAGAAATTTCTGTTAAACACGCTGGGCAAAATATTTTACTTCATTAGCACATCAGATACTAGCAAGCACTTGGGTGTAAACCTGTCAGGAGTCAGAGCCTGGGGTGTAGGAAGGTGAAACAAATCTGCAGACACATCTTTTCCTTATCACTAGTTGAAGGTCATCCGGACAACTTCAGCCCTTCACCTCAAGGAACACACATAAAATTTATCACATTTAAAACAAAGTTCCCCTCTCATGACAAACCAAATGGACACACAGTTTACATAGCTATGGTTTACATTCTTGAAAGAGGCTGGGCTGTTGGATGTAGCCCAAAGGGACATCACACCACTACTCAGCATCAAGAATCCACTGCAAACCCAAGAGACCATGAGGCAACATACTCTCTCTTAGGGAGAGCTAAATGTGTTCTGTTTCTCTCCAATCAAGATACTGGTACAGATAAAACAGAATAAAATAGAAAGAAAAGATAGGAAAAGAAAAGGCAAGGAAAGTGGCCGAGAAGACAAGGAAAACAAACAAACAACAGCAACAAAAAACAACTTACCTGTGTCAAATTTGATAAAGCTGGTTATCTTGCCACTCCCTAAATCAATCCGGACAGTATCATTCACTTTGATGACAGGATCTGGGTAGCGAATGGTTCGAGCATCATGAGTCACCAGGTGTGGAATTCCCTTTGTCCCCACAGTAATCTTCCTCACTTTGCACAACTTGTACTATACACATAACAAGGAAAAACCAATTTAAGAGGTAAACACAAAAAGTCAGCCCAAAGCAGTCACCCAACCATTATTATCCCACCAATTTTCAGCATTTCTTTAGTTAGAGAAGGAGTGCTCTTGGGAAAATTGTATTAGCCACTCACAGAGCTGATGGTCTGCCATAATGATTTAGTAATTTAGACATCCGGGAAACCTCGCCAAGGGGGAATCTGTTTCAGAATCCTCTGGGGGCTCTGGTAGCTGAACTAACTTCTGGTCCTTTATCAGAGGCTACAAGCCTGTTGCCTGTACACCTGAGCAGTAACACAGAATCAACTGACTGGTCTATCATTTTCTCCTCAAGGATGTTTTTCCCGAGAGAACTCTCATCTTGCTACTCTGGAGAGGTGGCTAGTGCCCTAGCAACAAAGTTAACTCTCCTACTGCTAAAAACATGATGCTTTTATGACCAGGTTAGATAAAAACAGCTTTCTCAGCCAACCAGGTGCCTTCCATACACAATGCTCCTCTTCCTCATCTGATTTTTCAGTGGTACATCCCATTATCTATGGGCCTTAGTTCCTTGTTAAAACTTATTGCTCTGGTACTGCTCAAATGACATCTACCAGTAGAAGCTGTTCAAAATATCTCATACCAACTATGTGTGTCAGCCCAACAGTTAGCCAAGCCCCATTATGTTCCAGAAGCAATCTTCAGAAGCTTCAAATGGTATACTTTGTAATCTCAAATGAACATAACCCATTTGTGGCTGTTAATGTCCATCCTAGTTAACACAGGCCCCCCCCCCCCAGAGTGTCACTGTTCCAAAGTAAAAAAGTGATTTTCTTTTAGCTTTGCTGGGAGAAAAAGCTTCTCAGGGCAAGTTTTGGGTAAATATGTAAATAACAAGGACAAGTAGAGTGCCAGGTGACAAAAACCCCCCATGAAAAGATGAGAGAAACCCTCCAAAAAGTGCACAATAAATGACTCCAGGAGCCACTACCTTTTTTTTTTTTTTTAATCAGCTCCTGCATTTCCTCTACAGATATTTCACTCTCTCCCTCATCTTTGAGCTCTCAGGACTAACTAGATTTGCCAGTTTGTCTCTATCATTGCTTTTGACCTGCCTAGGAGGTGTGGAAAGAGACATGGCAAATAAAGAAATAAAGTAGCAAGAGCTTGGGCTCTCACTCCTATAAAAAGGCCCCAAGTTCAAATACTGTATCCTTAAGCTTCAGAGGACAAGATGGGAATAATTATTGCATACTCCTACATGTAATACATTTATGAGATGAAAGAACATAAAGGACCTAGCAAAGCAGTTAATGCCAGCTAATATTACTTCTGCTGCTACTACAGATCCAACACTATTAAAGCACTATGGAGATGTGAGGCCATTTAATATAATGCAACAGTCCAAGAAAGTGATGACACTCCACATGTGGAACTTAGGTCATATTAATTCTACCAGTTAAGGTAAGGGAATTCACCAGCCAGGCATATCCAAGCCCACTTATATGTGTTAAGGCCTGGCTCCTAGGCAGTCAGTCTAATGAGAGCACTCTCCTCTCTCCATCTCAAAAGTTCACAGTTGACACAACCCTCCAGGCACTCTCTTTAGTGAGTGTTCAGTTTGTTTACCAACACCAGCTCACATTTACCCCCACTACAAATACAAACCCAAGATCATTTTCAGCTTTCTTGGTCAAGGAGTTAAGCACAGAAACGAAAGCTGCCTGGCTCCCCAATCAGAGCTGCCTACTGGACCAACCAACTGAAAACCTTAGATAAAAGAGAGGTCCCACACAAATGCAGAAATTGAAGAAACCCCCAGACACTGTGTGAAAACATACCAACTAAAACTCTTAAAGAATGTCAGAAGTAGTCCAAAGGACAATTAAGCAGATGGAGCTCTTTTCTTTCAAAATGAAAACCAAATCCTTCTTTCCTGTTGCCCTGCCAGTACCACCCCCAAATTAACTTCAGGAATACCTTTGGGTACAGATTTCTGTTTGACCCTAAAGGACAAGACATCAGAAACTTGCCTGCATACATACAAAAAGGCCCCAGTATGTAAAACTTTTGTTCTACTGCCAGTCATAGTAAGGCAAAGCAGGGCAAGAGTCCTTTGAAAGTTTAGGGCCTGTGTGACAAGTTTGGATGGGACGTGGAGGGAGTGAATGGTGGCAGGGGAGCAAAGCAAACATACTGCAAACCAAGGTGACCATGGGAATGGATTCACCAACCAGGGATGTTTTAAGTACTTTGCATTCATAAACATGTGTATTGAAGGTTAAGCATGCAGAGGTAGGGTCAGGAGGTGTTGTCATCAAGACACTGAATAAAACTTGGCACACTCCTTCCAACCACACATAAATGCCCCCATAAAGGAAAAAAGATCCAAATCCAACATACAACCAAATTCAGCAGATAGAATTACATACCAGAATACAACAACATCAAGCTATGGTGCCACAGTAGGCAAAAGATACTTAAGCGTGATGAGGCAGAAGGAGAATATGGACACAGACAGAGTGACCAGGGTGCTGAAGGAGGTCTTTTTGAGGTTCATTGAGCAGCCAAGCAGAATCGCCTCAGACAATAAATGGCATACAAGGGTTACTAACCTGCCAGCTTCGCATGAATACATGTGGATGGGGTACAATATGATAATCAAAGCCCACTCTTCTCTTTGCCTTCTACTCCTAAATGGAAATCTACCAAGCTACAGTTCATAAGCACCAGAGCAGCTGGTCAAGAAACCAGGCTTGTTCAAGCCTAGGGTAAATAACTGAGGAGTTATTTACTGAGGAGTAAATAACTGAGGAGTTATTTACTGAGGAGTAAATAACTGAGGAGTTATTTACTGAGGAGTAAATAACTGAGAACTATATTTAAAAAAACTGAGGAGAAAGCAAGCAGAGAAAACACATTTTCCCCTTTTACCTCCAAAGGCCTTGGGACAAAATCATAAAAAACAGAACATCACTCCACAGCCTATATTCTGCAACCAGTGAGGTCAGACTTGAAAACAATCTGTCTCTGTTGACTTCACTCTTCCATCCCCATTTAGGAGAAGGACAACTTGCAATCTGCCTTTAAAAGTTACTCTCCAATCAACAGTATGCCTTCGTCCTTTATTCTGCTTTTGCAATCCCTATCTTTCACAGTGCCAGTCCAGTGACCACTTACTAAGGCAGTATACAAAACCTAGGGCTCCTAGTGGACAGTCTCAATCTCTCCAGCTGTACTCCATGCTAGATTTAAGAAACCTGTCCTTGATAACATGAGAAAAGAACTCTGAAATGCCATGCTCTAGCTCTCAAATGGTTCTACGCAGTTACCAAGATCCCTATTACTGATACATGTATTATAATCACTGCTCCCTATTCAGAATAAAAAGTGCCCTCCCAACTTCATGAGGCAAGTCTTTGCATCATGGCCTGCTGAATGCATCCTTGTCACCCAACTGTCCTGCACATTTTTTTGTATGTGACATCCTGAACCTACTTGGGGATTCTAAAATGTTTCCAGTGAAAACTAATTCTGTTGCCCTTCCACCCTGGCTCATTAGTTCCAAATATCCCAGGTAAGACAGGTCCAAGCAAGTTCTATAGCTGTGAACTCACAGAAGGCCTATTCACACCTCAAAGTCTACCTGCTGCCTTCCACTTATCACATACATCCTGTGCAGTGTACTGTCTCAGCTGAGATGACAACAGTGCTAAGATAGTCATAATAGTTAGCAGGTATAGGTGACAGTCAGGAGAGAGACAGCAAAAACAAAAGTAGAAACACTTTCTTCTTCTGTATCTTTCACAGATTCTCTCACTAACCAAAACTTTCTGCATGACAGCAATAGCACCACCATGGCATCAAACTTGAAACCTTGGGCCCAAAGGTCCTTTGTCTTTAAATGCAGGCATGAAACACCCTCTGAAAAAGGCACGGCCTCTCCCTTTAAAGGTGCCACCAGTTCCAAGTGGCCTTCCTCCATCCTTTGAGGTTCACTCTGGAACCATTAATCCAAGCTTCATGATGCATGTCAGTTCTTGAAGTATCCACAGGTAACTTGACTGCCACACAAATGACACTCATTAACTATCCACAACTGAGTAAAATGCCTGTAAGCATGTTAGCATATTAACAGGTAACAATTCTGTCTAACCTTTATGCAGAGCTGAGTGACCAGGTTTGCAGTACTTTCAAAACCAGGCCCAAGACAGGCTAAAAACTTCTGATCACTTTTATTAAGAAAAGTGATCCAGCAAAAGCCAACACCATGGCAGGCTTTCTTCATATTCACTACAAACAACTTTACTACCTGTGCACCAAACCTTCATGTGGCCAAAACAGTTCAGGATTTAGATCTTGGGTCCTCTTGCTTAGTAGAGGCACATCCCGCCAGGAAACTAGAGCTTCACTAAGGGTAACGCTGGACGTTTCATGAGGGGAACTTCCAGATGAGTAAACCTCTTAGCATAGGGGTAGCCTCAACATCTGCAGAAAATCAATCACTTTTCCTTTGCCCCACAACTGAAAAGACGGTCTTCAGATTTTGAAGATGTGACTCCCCCATCATCTTCTCACCCCACCTCATAATGAACAAAATGTCTTTTGAAGCAACTTGAATGGAGCCGGAAGCCATTATTCCACGTGAAGTAATACAGCAGTATAAAAAATCAAAACTCTTATGTTCTCGATTGTAATTGGGAGCTATGCTATGAGTATGCAAAGGCATACAGAATGATACAATGGGCTTTGGAGACTTGGGAGGGGACCAAGAATAAAAATAAGTATATATTAGGTATAATGTACACTACTAGGGTGACAGGTGCACTAATATCTCAAAATTCACCATGTATAATTCATCCAAGTAACCCAAAAACCACTTGAATATAAAAAGCTACTCAATTTTTAAAATTTAGTTACTGTTTTTAAAAGAAATGTGGAGAAAACGACTTCGTGTGTGGCTAATGTACAGCACTCTACCAAAAGAAAACCTCAACTCTGCCGCCTGTCTCTTCAGCAATCTTGATGAGCGATGATTTGTAATCACATCACCACCTATTACAACATGCCTGCCCCATCAACACCCTTTCCATACAACCTTGACTGCAAGGTGAGGGCCCGTGTCATTCTCCAAAATGAAATGTCAAATATGAGGCTTCACTGAAAGCATTCTACTCTGTCCTTCTCGAACCGCAGATTAAAGAACTCTTTGCTTCCAAGTTTCCACTGCCTTTTGTAGAACACCCACACAAACCAGTCGGAAATCTTTCCCACCTGGCCTCCTTTAGAAACAAACAAATGTTAACTGCCCAGGTTCCATCTTTTCTGAACCTTAAAATTCGACTGCCTATTCTCTCCACCAGTTTTTTTTCCTTGCCCAACAAAAAACCACTAGTCTCCACACTCATCATCTTGATCTCAACCACCTCCTTTTGCACCAGATTCCAATGGTCTAAAAAAAAAAGGGCAAGCATTGCCCCTTATCTTAAAAGAAACTCCCTCTTAACAAAGTTACCTTTTTCTAGTTACCGCCCTCTATCTTGTACTTTGGGAATAACTGCCACCTTTATGAGGTTCAGTCTTCTCAATGTTCAAGAATGACAATCCACAAACACATCTCTGGTTGGTTACTCTCTGACATTCTCTTTTTGATTTCTTTAACCAGTGTTTTCTACTTTCCAAGAAACAGAACTTACACCACCTAGATCCTGTTCATAAACTCTCTGCAATATGAAATCTCCCTCTCCCCATGCACATTCATCATTGAATACAAGCTGCCCAATGTCAAAGAGGATTCTGTGCCACCTATTCAACAGCTTCTATTCTAACTCATACTTGAGCAGTGTTTCAGTCCTCTATTTCAGTCAGCACCTACTTCTTTCTGTCTCATCATCAACTTGCAAGTTCCAACGCAAGCAGAACCCAAAGCATTAACGTACTGTCCTTCCACAACTCTCTCAAGCATCCATGTATTTCATCAAGATCTGCAGCTACCATCTCCTTACCCTACCAGGAAATACTCAGTCACCCTGTCACACATGTTCTTCCCCTCTACCACAATAGGGGATGCATACTCTAAACCCTTTGTCTTCTTTGCCATGTCCCAGGTGATACTTGTGTCTTTTACCCCGACTCGCAATGGGAACAGGCACTGCCTTAGTTCCCATTATTCATGTGCAGGATCATCACAGGCTCACCCAAAATCTTTCCTTTTCTCCCATCCACTGTAGTAGCAATCATAGAAAACAAAAAAAACCAAGATCCACCTTATTGCCCATTCGTAAATCCAATGACTTCCATTTCTGTGATCTTCAACTAATACCAAGTTGTTAAAGGGAAAAATTATGTCTGAAATCCATCAGGCTGCTTTCTCAAGACCCACAAAATACCCCTTTTCTAGTTTTATTTTCGAGAGTGGAGGGCTGTTTGGATATTCTGTTTCTCCACTAACCTGTGCTACCTGGAGGACTAATAGCCTGTATAAAAAGGCTCCATTGTGTGTCCCTGACTCACTGAAATCCAAGAAACCCATCATTCTCCACTCTAAAAGTCACTGTGCCCTTTAACCTGTGGCTGCTGGGTGGGGTGTGATAGGGAATGCTCCCTTTCCAGCTGTCCTAAGAAACAACCAGCAAAGAAATAAGCTCAACCAAAACTTCCCCAAATCTCTGATCTCTTGCACAAAGATAAGGTCCTTACCCTAACCCAGAATAGCCATTTGGCACTTGTGGCCACTATGTGATACTCACCTGGGCACAACCTTTTTACATGGTGGCTGGCCAATGTAGTAGAGCCAGTACTAGGTATTAACAACACTCCAATATCTCCTTCTCCTACTCTATCTCTCCCCATTTAAAAATTCACACCAACGGTTGGGTGTGGTGGTTCATGCCTGTAATCCTAGCACTTTGGAAAGCTGAGGCAGGCAGATTACAAAGTCAGGAGTTCAAGACCAGCTTGGCCAATATGGTGAAACCCCACGTCTACTAAAAATACAAAAATTTGCTAGGAGGGGTGGCACATGCCTGTAGTCCTAGCTACTTGGGATGCTGAGGCAGAAGATTAGCTTGAACCCAGGAGGCGGAGGTTGCAGCGAGCAGAGAAGGCACCACTGCACTCCAGTCAGGGTGACACAGGCAGATTCCATCACCAAAAACAAAACAAAACAAAACAGAACAAAACAAAAAAAATCACCGGGGCTACCAATCTGTATTGTCTCTTGAGACCCAAATTCCTTACAAAAGCAGAAACCAGTCATCAGATTTGAGATTTCCCCGTGCTTTCTAGCTTTTGGGCACAACAGAACCCAACAGCCTGGGCAACTGAACACACTTCAGGATGCTAGACCTAGTTCCTATCACCTAAAACAAAGCACCTCCTTGTGGGAACAATCCACAAAACAGAAGGGACACTGCATCAAGGGACACTACCAAAGAAGTTAAAAATAACCAAACAACTGACCAATTAAAAAACTACCCAGACATGAAAATATTCGTGAATTCTTATAGGGACTCCAATGTGTTACCCCCAAAGAAACAACTGAGAAAAAGGCAAGCTGGTTAAACGAAGTGGAAACAATGTCCAATAAAACACTGAGATTCATCTGTAGAATGTGTCTCACAGTTAGATGGCATTTGGTCACTGTGCAGGTGATTTGTGTTATGTGAGAAATAAGGAAGAAGTCACCCCATGACCTTAAATCCAGGGAAAAGAGGAACGGATGACTGAGGGGTGATCCTGGTTTCCAAAGAAGTGTTCCCTACACAGAAAAAAGGCAGGTGCTGTCCACACAGAAAGGAAAGTTTCCCCAGTGATACTGACTTTGGCCATTACATTTGGAGAGGGGGTAGTTTTAGGATTGAGGCAGACATCAGGAAGTCAACAATCTCCTATGTCTAGTAAGTGTGAGGCACCACTACTACTAACATAGTCACAGAAACCTGGCAAAACAGCATATTATCATCATTTCAGAGAAAATGAAGGCTTAAAAAAGGTTCTACATACTGTTGCCCATGGTTACATCATTAATCAATGACAGCGTTCAGATTCTCACCCAGGCCTTCCTGGTTCCAATACCAGACCTTCCTCAGAGAACTGCTTACTCTGTACCCTGCTTCTAAAACAGCCTCGTGTGGAAAATCCATTGTCTTGTAACACGGCTGGCAAACCTACGTGCCCGAATTAAACAACCAGACAGACAAGCAGAGACAGCAATTATTCCCAGAATATGTTCTAAATGCTGTCTGACAACCTTAGCAACAGACCTATCTGTATGGAAATTATAAAGCTCACTTAAAAGCTCACATACCTTTGCCTCTTCCGCTGTGATACGATGAACAGCAAAACGGCCCTTGGTGTCATAGACCAGGCGGAAATGTTCACCTGTCTTCTCGATGCTGATGACATCTGATCACAAACAAGCATAAGGAACGTTATTAATGTAAAGTTTCTTTGGCCTACACAGCAAGAGCACTCCATGCCAGGCTGAACGTGAGAACATTTTAGCAGCCTGGGGAATCCCCCAGTGCTTGATGTGGGTGCTTGAACGAAACCAACCAGCCCCAGTCCTGTCCCAACAAATTACATCCAATAAAAGGAAGTGTCTATATATATGGCTACTCTACTGCTTTCTATGTTGTGTAATGGCTGCTTGCGACTGTGTTCTGGGTTAATGCACTCAGGATGCAGAGAAAACACACATAAGCATACCCAGACACACTAGGAAACCAAATGAATGAGCAGTCCTCACATTTAAGCAGGCAAGGCTCAAGGCTCTGCAGGTTGCCCAGTCAATGGCTTGGCAAGCCTTGCCATGACTCTATGACTTCCCTTATCAGGAGTCTTGCCTTGCTTGGGACCTGGGGTTTTGAGCAAAAAAGCAAAATACAAAATGCAGTAAAAAAACAAAAAAAGCAAAGAAGGAAGGAAAGTAGGAAAAGAAGGTCTGTCTTTTCTAATTCAGCAGCTGGATCCTGCAAAGTCTGGTCTGGAATGCCTCTCACCTCTGTAGCTTCCACACCACCTGATAAACCAAACATCTCCCAGCTTTCCGGAAAATACTAGGCTAAAAAAGTGTTACAAAGTATTGACCGGCTGGGTGCAGTGGCTCAAGTCTGTAATCCCAGTACTTTGCGAGGCTGACGTGAGCAGATCACAAGGTCAAGGGATAGAGACCATCGTGGCCAGCATGGTGAAACCCTGTCTCTATTAAAACTGCAAGAATTAGCTGGCCATGGTGCCGTGTGCCTGTAGTCCTAGCTACCCAGGAGGCTGAGACAGTAGAATCGCTTGAACCCAGGAGGTGGAGACTGTGGTGAGCCATTGTGCTCCAGCCCGGTGACAGAGCAAGACTCCATCTCAAAAAAAAAAAAAAAAAAAAAAAATGGGTATTGAGCCTGTCGCCATGGAAAGAAAGAGTGAACAAACCACTAGGTCAGAATTCCCCAGTGCCTTTTCCCTACCATCCCTCTCAGCACACTTTTACTCTAAATGAGTGTGACCCTTTTCTCCCTTCTCCACTCTCCTCTCCTAGCAAGCTGCAAATGCATCGGTGGAGATCTGGCATGGTTAAGTCATCAACAGAGAAAGTGGAAAGACAGGGCCAAAACCCTGTTCACCGACAAAGATTCTCTCCTTGACCAGTCATTAGCCAGACTCCTCTGAGCCCTCTTCTTGGCTGGGCTTCAACCGTGGCCTATGAAGATCTGAACACTAACATGGCTTCTAGAAGCTCAAGATGAGCCCAATCTCTGTCAAAGTGCCTGCCTGAGAAAACTCAAGGCTGCCAAAAGAATTTACTGGTTTTTTTCAGTCAACACCTGAGGACAGCTCTTCAGTCAGGAACCTAAATTTGATAACTGCCAGCTAGCAGCCACTGCTGGTCTCATCCCATTTACATTACCAACCCCTTTCCAGCTTTTCACTTGAGCCTTGCCACTCTGTCCCTATCCTTCATTCTCCTTCTGAAATGACCAGCAGTAAATCGTGTACAAATCGAAGTTCAGAGTCAGGTTTTGTTTACCGTTGGCAACATGTAAGTCCCACACCTTGCATTTCTCTCAACCTGTTCCTTCGTCAAAACAAAGAGCTCTTTCCTTACCCATGAATCCAGCAGGGTATGTGACATCCACTCGAACCTTGCCATCAATTTTGATGAAGCGTTGCATACATATCTTCTTTACCTCATCTCCAGTCAACGCATACTTAAGTCTATTCCTGAGGAAGACGATCAGGGGAAGACATTCCCTCAGCTTGTGGGGACCTGTCGACGGACGAGGTGCCTGTAGAAGACAATGGCAGGCAAGCTGATCTCTCAAGATCCACCCCTTATGTAATCAGATTGAGTAGATGATTTGCCTTAGTTCAGCATTAGTTGAACTTGTTGAGAAAGAGGAATAAAAGAAGGCAATTATTTCATCGATTTAGAGAGGTATGCCTTGTTAGGAAGATCACACCCCCAACTATGGAAGTCCCATTTTGTGCCCCTTCCTTTCACAAATCCAGGCTCACAACCATCTCCCCATTTTGCCCTGCCCCAAGCACCACCACCACTGGTACTGCCTCCTTAAACTTTCCTTGAATACAACACTACATCCCATGTATCTCGGGTAGAGCTTACACTTTACCCACAACCTACAAAGACATATTCTACTACTTTCTCACCATTCCAGGCCTCAAAGTCCCACACAAGCCCTGCCGATGCTGTTAGACCTATACTTTTGCAGTTTTAGTGTTATAACAACTTTTGACTATTTGCTACCAGTACATAGAAAGGTCTCAAGTTCTGGGGTTGTACTGTTTTGAACTCCACTCCTCAATTATCTCTTAGGCTCAGAGCACACAGGAATCCTTCCTAATGGAGACTGTTCTTAAAGCTGCTTCTACAGCTCCCTCTTTAGCTTTATCCCTTTTTAAATGGACTCACAATCATTAACCACACACTTTCATCAACACTAAGGGGAAAAGAGGGGAGCCCACAATACCGAGGACTAAGTTCCCAGCAAGTCTTCTTTATAAGAGTGCCTTGGCCAAGCACAGCAGCTCAACACTGTAATCCTAGCACTTTGGAAGGCCGAGGTGAGTGGATCACCTGAGGTCGGGAGTTACAGCCAGTCTAACCTATGTGGAGAAACCCTGTCTTCACTAAAAATACAAAACTTTGCTGGGCATAGTGGTACATGCCTGTAAACCCAGCTACTTGGGAGGCTGAGGCAGGAGAATCGCTTGAACCCAGGAGGTGGATGTTGCAGTGAGCCAAGATTGTGCCATTGCATTCCAACCTGGGAAACAAGACTGAAACTGTCTCCAAAAAAAAAAAAAAAAAAAAAGTGCCTTGCTTATCCTCTCAACAACAGAGGGAACAGTGGCCCACCAAGGGGGGGTCAGATACTAGGGGGCAGTAGCAGAGGTAAGACCTGGAAGCAGAAACAGACAGGGAAAGGCTGCAAATCCAGGTCCCCAGGCAACACACAGCCAATTTTCTCTCTGAAAATACCAGCATGAGGAACACAAGTTTCTGCTACTCAGTGTTCAGAGTTCCACCTGTCCCAAGAAGAGGCTATGTAATCTATCAAGTTAGTTACCAAGTGCCTACTATGTGGATGTGGACCCTGAGGGCTGCATATTTTCTCTTGGATGCCCCATGTTTATTCCTGCCCAAAAAACTTTTGGTATCTTAATCATCTCGCTTCCGTCTTCTTCTTCACACGGGCTCCCTTTCTATCTCAGAAGACCCAAAACTTTCTTATGGCTTCAACCACTCTCTTCCATTGTCACCACACCAACAATGTGGAAACTGCCTAGTCTGCCTCTTCTCAGAGGTTTGCCTTCTTTGCCTCTGGGAATGTGTCCTCATCCTGCCAGGTCTTCAAGGTTGAGTTCAAGAGACTCCTGCATTTCTCACACAATTTCCTGCCCTTGTTTCATGGGCTCCTGTAGCCTTTACTGTTAAACCTGTATCTTGGGCTCAACGTAAAAAACAGCTACTCCACCCTCTGAAACAAAGGGTAACTTCAAGTTAAATGTATTCGGATACTAATGGGGACTCAGTGCACTGTAACTGAACTCCTTTGTTATGTGGAATTCGGCAGGTTCATTAACCCCCTCAGCTCTGGGCTCTGGGAGTGCCCACTAAATTGGGAAGTTCAAAGAGCAAAGGAGACCACCAGGACTTGATATCCTGGTGTTTTGTTGTTGTTGTTGTTGGCATTTTTAATCCTGTATCTATTTGAGAGCGCCAGCTCTAAGAAATGGTTTTGTGGTATGACACAATTTGAATAAATCACAACACACCAGCCTAACAGCTCTTTTGAAAATATTAACCCCTATGATGAGCGCTGTGGCTAACAAGGACATTTTGTGGATAACAGCAAAGTGCTGTAATCTCAGCACTTCGGGAGTGGCCACAGCCGGTGGATCACAACGTCAGGAAATTGAGACCATCCTGGCCAACATGGTGAAACCTGGTCTCTACTAAAATACAGAATTTAGCTTGGTGTGGTAGCTCATGCCTGTAATCCCAGCTACTGGGGAGGCTGAGGCAGGAGAATCGCTTGAACCCAGAGGGAGAGGCTGCAATGAGCTGAGATCACGCCACTGCACTCCAGCCTGGAGACAAGCAAGACTGTCTCAAAAAATAAAAATAAATAAAAGAAGAATCCCAAACATCTCCCATAGTTCATTACTTTAAGTCTTTCTGATCTCCTGGAAGAGGCTTCATCATTTTACACTCTTTAAAACTGCAGTCGCTCAAAGCCCCATTCATCCTTCCCACGGCCCTATTATTTTTCTCCCAGCCCTCAGCACCTGTGAACATACTGTAACTTCCCTCTCCTCTCAGCAGGATATAAGATTCAGCAAGAGAGAGGGATAGATTTTGTTGTCCAACCATTTTGTACAAGGGTGGGCCCACATAACACCACCTGGTATGTATCAGGCTTTCAATAGTTACTAAAAGATGGCACGCCCAGGTTCTCAGCGACATTATGGATCACAACAGTGCTCAAAGTTGAGGGCGGAGAGCTGTTCGACCCGCAGTTTCCAAACAAGATGTCATAACTTTTTTCTCAGGGTCCTTTTCAGAAGGGAGTAAGGATAAGTTCCTTGAGCGCCAAGTCTTCACCAACGAAAATCCCACATAATAAATAAGCAAACAGTATTCCCACGAAATAGCAAGTCACAGGTAACCAGCATGCATTCCTGACTAAAAATCAAATATAGTTATACTCACAAATACACCCGTTAGTTTGTCGAGCATCCAATGCTTCGGCGCTGCAACACGCTTCAAGTGCTTCTTGGGGCCCCGGGCCTGAAAAGGACACCAAACTTTTTCAGAGAAATTCGTCTCATTTGACAGTAAAATGTCCTCATCTTCAGCTGTAAGAACTGCTAACGAGTAATACCTGATCCGAGGAGAAAGGATAGTCCAGCCTATTTCACGCCCAGTTTTGAGCAAATATTACTTCCTGCCAGATCCCAGAACAAACCCCGCAAAACTCTCAGACCTTTGAAAATCTCACGAGTCTCCCTGGCGTCTTTCAAGAGAGCGTCCACAATGCTCTCCAAGCGAATCTGAGATTGCTTTAACGTATGGATATAAGCTAACATGGGTAAAAAGCTAGTGCTGGCCTGTGTAATCAAGGGTGGGCTTGCAAGGTTAGCCGAGGCAGCTTGTCTCTAAGACTCACGTGCCAGCAGCACCCCCGGCCCTCAGTCCGAGCACAAGAGCCAGCTCGGAACCCCCAGCCGCACTCTTCTCAGACCTCCGCTCTCCAAATCGGGTTTCCTGAAAGCAGCACAAGCAGCATTCCCATCCGCCAAGTAGGGGCACCCGAAAAGTGAAAGATCGCGAACGTGGAAAGGTCCTTCTTCAAAAGATGGAGGCCGGTAGGCCCTGAGGTAGGGCGCACACGTCTTACCATGGCAAAATCCTGCGACGGAAAAGAACCTCTTCTTTTCCGGTGCAACCGTACTCTGTGGTCGTAATCCGCGGGAAGTCAAATGAGTGAGAATTTCGGTTCCGGTTTCCGACTCTAGTAAGTAACCTTTTCCTATTCTACAGTTGTAGAAGTCACAATTAGAACTGAATTTCTTAGCATTTTCAGTTTCTGATACCAATTCACAAGTGTCAGTTGTGCCACCGGACATTTTGTTGTGCTTCCTCCCCTCAGGTCGGCTGAGCTGTGAGGACGCAGTTTACACTCTAAAAATTACCTTTCGACAACTTTAAAAATATTTAACAGAAGCTCTGAAGGAGCACGATTTAGGAGCCTTAAAAAAAAAAACAATAAGAAGAAATAACCTATGTGATTCCTTGTGACTGTGACACGTTGTATTGTAAAATCATGATTTGAGAAACAAATAATTCTTTCAGAATTGGGGCCAATTTCACAAGTTTGAGAACGTATTTAAATCGTCTGTATCGTAAACTTTGAAAGAATAGGTTTTACGGGACGTGAATTGTAAGATCAATAATTTGTTTTGGATTAACTTGTGGTGATGGTTGCACAACTCTGTGCGTGTCCCTAAACTCCACAAAATTCTCTTTTAGAAAGGTGAACTCGGCTATGTAAGTTGTACCGCGCGCGTGTGTGTGGTGTTACAGCTTTATTGAGGCCATGTAAAACACAATCAGCCAAATGAAGCTGGACTTAATGTGTACCATTTGACGAGTTTGGACATAGGCGTAAACCCACAGTACCACCATCACAATTGAGGTAATAAACATCTGCATCACCTCCAAAAATTTCCTTGTGTTCTTTTCCGGGTGTTTCTTTTCTTTTTCCTTTCCCTTTCTTTCTTTCTTTTATTGTGTTTTTGAATGAGGCAGGGTCTGGCTCTGTCGCCTCGGCTGGAGGGCAGGGGCGCCATCTCAGCTCTCGGCAGCCTCGACTTCCCAGGGCTTGAGTGTTCCTCCCACCTCAGCCTCCCACAGTGTTGAGACCACAGGCACCTGCCACCGCTTTCCGGATTTCCCCCCCCCCCTTTTTTTTTTTTGAAACGGAGTTTGGCACTGTCGCCCCGCTGGCATGCAATGGCGCGATCTCAACTCAGTGCAACCTCCACCTCCTGGGTTAAAGCCATTCTCCTGCCTCAGCCTCCTGAGTCGCTGGGATTACAGGTGCCTACCACCAGGCCCAGCTTTTTTTTTTTTTTTTTTTTTTTTTTTGTATGTTTAGTATAGACGGGGTTTCACTGTGCTGGCCAAGTGATGTCAGACTCCTGACTTCGTGAACCACCACAGTCTGCTTTCAAAGGTGCTGGGATTACAGGCGTGAGACACCAAGTCCGGCCTCCGACTTTTCTTTTTTCTGTAACTGTGGAGAGAACACAATACAGTAAGATCGACCATTTTTACCAATTTGTAAGCGCATTAACAGCGCCTGAAGTGTTTTTGTTGTTGTTTTGTTTGTTTTTGCATTCAATTCCTTGACTCATGTCTGTGCCAGTGTATGTGCCAGCTAGCAAGACAGCAGACTCCACACTGTTTGCTCTGTACTAGGAGTCACCTATCCTATTCTGAGACTCCTAGACTTCTTTTGTCATTTCTCAGGTCCCCTTGCTGATTTTGTGGTGGGAGTTATTATGAAATTATTTTAGGCAAATAGAGAGCAGTTTTCATTTTTTTTAAACCTGCTCCAGTAAAGTTTCTTATCTAGAAGGAAAGCCCGGGCTTTTAGAGCTTGGGCTCTTAGAGCTTGGCTGGCAACATTTGATATGCAAATGCAGGCCATTAGAAACTGAGTCCACCCAAACATGGAGATTCCTGTGCCCTCTTGCCCTTGCCCTGCATGTTCCTGGCAACATGGCCACCCCCACATATCCCCATGTGCATAGAACATCATGGCATCGTTTATTTGCACAGTAAAAGACTAGAGTAGCCCATGGCTTTTCCATGAGCTAAGTGAATGACATGCCTGGTCAAACCAATCCACTGTGCCCTCTGCAAATCAGACACCTCCTCCTCCAGCCTCTGCATATACCTGGCTTGTTTCCTCCCCACCTGGGTTCCATCTCTTGGGTTTGGAGTTCCCCTCCCTCTGTCTCTGTACAGGGGAGCTTCTTCCTTCTTCCTTGTTTCTTGCCTGTTAAACTCTCTGCTCCTTATAACTCTACCTGTGTCCTGTTGCTTTATCTAATTCAATGTGAGACAAGAGCTCTGGTGTTGATAGCCTCATCGGAGCCCTATCAATTTCAGTTCCGGTCCTGGACAGCCCTCCGAGAGCCCTTAACCTTAATTGGGCTGATTCCTTCCACTCTCTGTGGCAGACAACTCACTTTTCTACTCTTTTGCCCATGATTTTCCTTTTTTATTGTTCTCCCCCGAAAAAGCATTCACTCCTCCAGATATAACACTGCTGAATACTGCTCTCTGACTAAAACAGGCTTTTCTGATTGAATCATTTTCAGAAGACTGTTAGTCAAATACATATGTGGACATGAGGAGAGCCCTTACCAGCCAATTATCCTTATTAAATTCTGATCCACAAATGCTAGGGGAGAGCGATTTGAACAATAATAAGATTTCCTGCAAGCTGACTCTGCATGGATTACTCTTTCTCCGTTGCAATTCTCCTGTCTTGATAAATCAGTTCTGTCTAGGCAGCTGGCAAGGTGAACCTGTTGGGCGGTTACAGAGCTGCATCCCTAAGCATGTCCATGGCCTCCTAGAGCCTGGAGACCTTCTACTGTCCTGTCTGGGAGGCAGCCAGGCAGTTCCTGCTGATCTTCCAGCCGCTGGCCTTCCCCTGTCCCTGGAGAGCAGCAGCTCTGCCTAGTACTGAGCCACCTGGAGCTGCTGCCCTGCCGTCAGCCTGATTCCCCTGGCCCTCCCTGCTGCCTCAGCACATCCTGTCTGCTGCAGCTGCTTGGCTGACTGGGTAAGGGTGTGCTCCATCTGTGGGTTGAGACCTACTCAGTGCCCAGATGAGGACATATGGCAAACGAATTGTAACTAGATCTGTGACTGAGTGATGGTGCACCGCCCCTCTGCTGGATCGGGCCCCTGAGCACTTGAAGCACAGAGAAAAGGGAAGCAGAGGCACTTCCCTCGGGACCAGATGAAAAGAGTAGGTAATTTTTCCATGCAAAATGATTGGTAAAAATTCCCGTCCGCCTGAGGTTTGGTTTTTAAAAATCCATTCATTGTGTTTCTTAACAGGAAAATTTCAGAGAGTGCAGCTGAGCAAAAATTGCACCAAGGAGAAACTCACAGCTAACAGTGTGTGTATGTGTGCACGCCTTTTTATTTTTTTAGGTGGAGACTGGCTCTGTCTTCCAGATTGGAGTGCAGTGGCACCATTGCGCCCCACTGCAACTTCCTCATCCCAGGTTCAAGCGATTCTCCTGCCTCAGCTTCCAGAGTGGCTGGGACTACAGGCATGCAACAGGACACCCGGCTCAATTTTGTATTTTCATAGAGAGGGGGTTTCACCATTTTGGCCAGGCTGATCTCAAACTCCTGATCTCAGGTGCTCTGCCCACCTGGGGCTCCCAAAATGCTGGGATTACAGGACTGAGTCCCCGCAAATTCTTTCCTGTTTTGCACCATATGTTATCTCCTGCGTGTTTTATGACCTTAAATCCCCTCCTTATCCAGGCTTTTGAGGCTTCGTTTTTCCACCATAGGTGTGCAAACTGCAGCCCGTGAATGAAATCCTGCCCATATTCTAAGGCCCATGAGCTAAGAATGGTTTTACATATTAGGTTTTCGTTTGTTTGTTTTGAGACAGAGTCTCATTCTGTTGTCCAGGCTAGGATCATAGTTCACTTCAGCCTCAACCTCCTGGGCTGAGACTACAGGTGCATGCCACCACACATGGCTAATTTTAAAATTTTTAGGTAGAAATGGGATATCACTGTGTTGCCTAGGCTGATTTCCAACTCTTTGGCTGTAGAGATCTCACACCTCAGCATTCTAAAGTTTTGGGATTACAAGCCTGAACCACCTCACCTTGCCTCAAAATGTTTTTAGAAATCAAAAGAAAAAAAAAATCCTGGCGTGTGAATATACATGAAACTTAAAAGTTAGTGTCCACACATAAACTTTGATGGGGCATGCAGCTATGTTGTGTACTGCAGCCTGGGTGACAGAGTGAGACCCTGTCTCAAAACATAAAAATAAATAAATACAGAAGTTCTTGCTCTGTCACTCATGCTAGAGTGTGATGGTGCAATCTTGGCTCACTGCAACTTCAACTTCCCAGGCTCAAGCAATCCTCTTGCCTTAGCCTCCCAAGTAGCTGGGGCTACAGGTATGGGCCACGCCTGGCTGTATCCCACATTCCTTGACTCATGACCTCTTCTTCCA